AATAACATATAAAGAAAGACATAAAAAAAGATGGCATAATTAACAAAGCTTTCTAAAGGAGGTAGGACTTGTTCTAGATCTTGAAAGAGAATTTTGGCAAAGAGAGAGGCAAAAAGATGTTGGGGGGAAAGGGAGCAAAGGCACAATATCCTAGTTTTGTGGCATAGAGAAGGGATTTGCTTGAGGACAGGAGAGCATCAGCTTTGAAAAGGTAGGAGGCAAAGTCACAGGGCAGGAGGGTGCCAGACAGTGGCTGCTACCCGAAGCTGGGCACCAAGAATGTGCCTTGATTTAGTTGGATATAAAGAGTTATTAAAGATTTGTAAGCAAGATTCACTCTTAGTGAAGGCTTAGCTGGGACCAGTGATCATTCCTCACTCTAATTTCTAGAGTAATTATCATTGTCTTTAGGCACTAATCAGACACTTAGCTTGTAACTCTTTGCACTTTTAAAATATATAATCTGTGTGAGTGCAGTCTACATGGAGTAGGAACAGAGGAAATGTTTGATGATGATGAAAGACATGTGTAAGGAAGATAAATTTGACAACAGCATATGGCCTGAATTGAAAAGGAGAAAGCTAGAAGGTAGGAAAGTCTGAGGAAGCTGTTCTAGTAATGTAGGTGTGAAGGAAAGAATGTAGAAGTTGCAGGTAGGAGAAAATGCTTAGGAAGTATAATTAAAGGGAGCTGTAAAAAATTTGAGTGCAGAGTGGGTTAAAAATTCATTTCAAATATAAAGTTTTGAAGGACCATGATGCCACTCAGACAAGATGGAAAACTTGGGAGAGGGTATTAGTTTAGGGGAATTAGAAGTGGAATTTGGTTTTGGACAGGCATTTGAGATGATGACAAGATATTCATTTAGAAATGGTCTAGGAAATTGGTTAGATGAGAAGGAGGTGACTATGTAGAGACAGGGCTGAAGCTATGTTGTGATTTTATTTACTTCAACAAATATTTATAGAAGCTAAGAGCTATGGGATATAAATTGGGCAGGGGCTCTGAGGAATCAACAACCTGCTGGGGAAAACAGACATGCAAGAAAGGAATACAAAGTCTAATGAAATAAGTATCCAGAGGAGATTATGTGCTGGGTAAACGAATTAAATAGCACCTATTCAGCGGTACAAACTTCCTACCTGGGAAAACTGATATATAGTCCAAGAAAGCATCCAGAGGTGGCTGGTCCTGCTTAACTTTCCCTGTGTCAGGGACTCTGGCCACCACTGTCTGGATCCAGGATTGGCACCTGTGGGCCCAGGTGTTAGGGCCTCTCAGTTAGGAAATGTTTGCAGGCTTTGGAGACTGGCCTGCTCCTCCCCCTTGGGTGGGAGTCTCGGGGAAGAAAAGCAACTTGTTGATGTAAGTTTCTTTCCTGCTGCATGTGTGCTGGCACCATGCAGCTGTTGTTTGTATGAGGGTATAACCTAACCCCTCCCTCCCCTCCCCCACTCTCCTCAGATGAGCAAAGTTGTTGCTGCGTTTATGGCACGTTATGGCACACAGTCTGCCTCGTCCCTTCTTTCAGCTGGGCATCTCACCACCCAGACGGTCCCTGATTGACACCCTCGGACCTGACAGCACCCAAACGAAGTCAATGATCTTTAAACCAGGCATAAAGAAGACTAGCCACCAATCAGGTGGCCCATCAGGAAAACTGTGCCCCATAAAGGCCTTTCTTATTGAATAGTGAATGACAGATTGCATTCAGATCCTCTCTCTTAGGATGTTTTAAATGTAAGTCACAGAGAGTGGTCTCTAGAAGCAGAGGTAGCAGTAGAAGCTGAGACTGACATGAGAAAAAAGTAGAGAGAGACTGATTCAGGAGAATGGCAAAATTACTCGAGTATGGCCAATAGATGCTTGTCAGTGAGGGGATGAGCAAGGTACCAGAGCCTGTTGCTGGATCACAAGAACTGTAGTTAATTCTTAGAAGGAGCAGTAGTTCTGTCTGATAATATGACTTTTAAACTAACCCCTCAGCATTTGCAGTGCCCCGATCACGTCCTGCCGTCTTATATCTGGTAAGAACTCAACTAGCACAAGGGTATTCTTGTTGTTTTGGAGTAATTATATCTGCAGAAAAGGGTATCTCGTGAAGACAAGGGTCAGTATGATCTTCATAAAGCAAGGTGAAGAGGATATGTGCACGTGCACTTGTGTATGTGGCTGCCTTCCCGGAAGAATACAATAGTGGAAGGTAGAAAATTCAGTCAGTTACATCTTAGAGCAAGCCTGGCGTCCCCATGCTTTTTGTTATCCCTCTCTCTCTTTTCCCCTCCTGATCACAGACAGTATGGGCCTGTGTCTTTGTCCCTGGGGAGGACAAAGAAAGGGAGAGTCAGGGAGACAATTCAATGCAGCCACCAGGCTTGAGGAGGAGAAACGCCAAAAGATAGTAGAAAGTGCTGCCTCCAGGAGAAGAGAAGAATTTGAGTATATAGATCAGAGTTTCTCAATGTAGAGGCTGCTAACCACCAATTTAGGATCCCCTGATTTGTTAAAAATGAAAATTTCTGATTCAACTGAACCTTTGACCAACTGAGAGGGCTATCTGGGTGAGAGGCCTAGGAACTTGCATTATTTAAGTATGCCGGTTAGCCTTTGAGACCCACTGCTGTAAGCCCTGGGTAAAGGACAGAAAGAGTGCTGGGGAGAAGGCTGCTGGCTTCTGTGAAATAACCCAGGACTGAATGGTGGAACAGCTTGACAGACCATATGTATACATTGCTGTAGAAGTGAAAGGGAGGGAAGGGAACGTGTGTGAGGTGAAGCTGGAGTGTAGGGTACAGGAAACAGATCATGGGGTGTAGATTTGCTTTGGGGATCAGGAGCCTAGATGATAACTGAGAGCATGTGGATGCATTAGGTTGCTGCTAATGCCAGGATTTTATAATCAGCATAAAAGTCCAATATAAAGCTTTTCCCTCCTCTATATTAGTCCTTTTAAGATTTATGGAGCACCAACTACAGGGAGAACGTTGTATTAGCAGCTGTCAGAGAAAACAAGAGTTTATTATGTACTTGAAGTTGGACAAAATAAATCTGTGATTCATATTTAAGAGTGACTACAAAGCAACATCCAAATAAGTGCAAATTCATTCATTTAACAAAAACTCATTGTGTCCATTATGTGCAGACTGCTGGACTTCATAGGGTGTGGCCTATCAGAAGGTGACCTGGGTGAGTTTAAAGGCAGATTTTGTTAAGAAGGTGCAAACAGATTAGAGTTTAAGACACTTAGTCTCAGATTTAGAGTCACAGAGTTCAGAAGGAGGGTACATAACTTCAACTCGTTCAACATTCCACAAATATTTATTGAGTGCGTATTGTGTTGTAGACACTGGGAATGTATCAGTAAGTAAAACAGAGAAAAATCCTTGCCCGCCTGGAGCTTGTATTCTGGTGGGAGGGAGACAAGAAAACAAAATAAAGAAGTTATATACTACTGTACATTAGAAGGTGGTTAAGTGCTTCAGGGAAAAAATAAATCAGGAAGAGAGAGATAATTTGGGGGGAAGGAGGGAGAGATGCAGTATCATAGATGATCTTTCAGAAAAAAACTCATTAGAAGACATCTGAACAAAGATGTGTAAGTAGGTGTTGGAGGAAGCTTTGTGGATTTACAGTGGACATGCGTTCCACGTCCTCTCTTCCACCCGCTACCAGTTGCTATGCCAGGCCCTCAGAAACAAGCCTTGCAGATGACAGCCCACATCAGGGGTAGGAAGAAAGGGTGACGGCTCGTGAGAGGCCTAGGTTAACAGATACAATAGTTGGGATTTAAAATAATTGTTTTATTCGTGTTTTATGATGTGGACGATTTACCTTTCTAGGTCGTGTATCCACGCAGACTCTTGAGTATGCTAGATTTAACTGTCCCATTGTTTAATGTGTTAACTCCCTGAATGTTAACTGATTAATCTCACTCTTCTAATTAATGTTTGAATGATTCTCCTCAGGTCTATACTATCAAGGGCATTTCTACTTAATAACTTGTGTTCTGCTTGTGCCGTCAGGGGCAATAAGTATACTTGAGGTCCCTGTTTAGTCACCTGAGACGGTTTCAAAATAGCCATCGAAACAACCCCGAAAACAGACCCCTCCCCACGTAAGATTAGTGATGTCAGGATTGTTTGGGCCTGGGGCTAGGTTCCTAGCCCTGGAGTGATCCACCTTGATCAGGGAGCCCCAGGGAGGAGGACTGCCTGCTCCGGTCTCTCCCACCCACATTTGGTGACTGCATGTTTATTTACATGCAATTATAGTAAATGACAATGTACAACTGTAGGCCGACCCCGAGAGGTTGGCGGGATTTTCGCAGCTTCTCTGTGTGAGAGCGAGAGGGGTGGGCGAAGTCGCTTATGGTGTCTGTCTGGTGTGTGTGTGTGTGTGTGTGTGTGTGTGTGTGTGTGTGTGTGTGTGTGTGTG